ACTGAGGCAAAGGATTACCCTGTCTGTCCCTTGTTGATCTACACTCGTTGGTCCAGTCTTTTCCCTTACCACACCTTCTGCATACTCCAGAAGGAAGGGGCAGTCTGTTGCCATTGTTCCTTGAAGAAACATTGTTTCTAGGAATGACCTGTTTACAGTCCCTTTTCAAATGTCCTTGCTTTCCACATCCAAAACATCTAACATTCCTCAAACCTCTTGAAATTGCTTCTCCTACCCACGTATCATCATGCTCATGAGCTTCAACATTAACGGTGTCTCTAATCCAATCTTCCAAAGGTGCAGATCTTGCCTTTAACTGCCTGATTATTGTTTTGCATGCTGCATTCGCATTCTCAAAGGCCAAAGTTTCAATTATTATCTTACTAGCTTCTGAATCCGGGACCATTCTCTTTACTGCTGAAGCCAGTCTTTGTAAAAAAATCTGTGAAAGATTCTTTTGGGCCTTGTACAACCTTTGTAAATGACTCAGTTTTTTTTCCTGGTTCCTCAACTCTGTCCCATGCATTCAAGGCTGCTGTTCGACATAAAATTAGGGTTTGGACATCATATAAACATTGTGCTTGTGTTGAAGCATATTGACCTTCTCCAATAAGCTGATCCTGGCAGACTTGTATTCCTTTATCCCTCCACTGTTTTTCTATGTTTTTAGCTTCATCCTTGAACCAAGTTAGCCACTGAAGCCTTTGACTGGGTTCAAGAACAGCTTGTGCCAGCTCCCGCCAATCCTGTGGTACAATCCTATTATATGTTGACCAAGAGTTTAACATTTGCTTTACATACGGGGAATGCATGCCATAAGATACTATTGCCTCCTTAAACCTTCGTAAATCTAACATTTCAATTGAAGCCCAAATATTTTGTGTAGTCATTTGATCAGGCAACTGCTGTACGGTTACTGGACAAAACCTGATACCAAAATTTACCTTTTTGAACTTTTTGAACTTAAAATGAGAAAACTACAAAAATTTTTATGGATTTATTAATATTTGGAAGACTGATACCAAAATTTATCATTTGAATTTTAAAACTTAAGAAATGAAATAAACAATAGAGATTTCATTGCAACAGGACAATTTTGAGTTTACTTATAGTAATGACCTAGGAACTGTTTTCTGAAATTGGGTTAAAAATGGAACTGTTTAAATGAAGAAATTTATTTCTACCTAGAATCAAGATGCAGTTTTGTGTATGCATATATGCTTTATTAATTGGTGATTCATGAATTGTTTTGTGGAACTGTTTATGTAAAAATGAAATTACTTACAGAACTGGTTTTGTGTTACAAATGGAACTGTTTAAACGGAAAAGTTTGGGTTTTCTAACTAGGTTTGAGATTTTGTTTAAAAAATTATAAAGAAAAGGAGGAGTTATGAGATTGAATTATGTTTGCAGAAATTATGTTTAACCTATTGATATTAATGCACCCTGGTTTTGTGGAGTTAAGGAAATATTTAAGTTTGATGTGAATACATCGAAGTTTTTCCTATGTTCTGTCAGCAAGAAAATTCAAATGATTGAGTTAAAGTTGTAAGATGGAGAAAATTGTTAACTATATATAGCACCATATATGCTAACTCAAATGGTTCTGTTAAGAGTTTGCGTTGAGTTGTAAGATTGAGAGAATTGTGACTATGTATAACAATATTTATGTTAACCTGTTAATGGTAATGATGAAGCTAAGGGATTCTTTAAGTTTGTAGTCACCTTAAGAGTTTTTGGCTTAGAAAGGGCTTGAGGCAGCTAAAACTGCTGTAGTCACCTTGGACCTAATTCAAAGAGAAATGCCATCTTTATCATCCTCTACTCCCTTACTGGGAGGTGTAACAGCTATGGAGATTGCTATAAGCCATTAATAGTTATTTTTTTATATATTAAGAAAGGGGGACCTGTGGGAGCCCGTTCTCGGGTTCCTCGTGGGTTTACCCAGCAGGTCCGAATAGAGGATGATTAGACCACGGGCCTAAGTGCAGGTGTCTGGGATGGTCTGCACTTGGCTGTGCTGGGGGAGGAGGTCTTTTGCTCCACCCCTTAGCGTCTCTATAAAAACCCTGGGGCAGAGACAGTCGGGGCCGTTGGAATAGGTTCCAGGCCCTCTCGAGGCTATCCTTTATTTTCTATCTGTTTATCTCCGCGATATTCTCCGCAATAAATCCTTCTATCTAATATTTCCTGCTGCTCGCACTCAAGAAAACTCTGGGGAACTGTGGGGGTGGTTGGGTAAACGCCCCACACTTTCTGAGGAGTGAATGTGGGGGTAAAAAGGAGGTGGGGTAGGAAATGGGAGGAGAGGAGGGAGGGGAAACTGTGGTTGCTATGTAAAATAAATTAAAAACTAAAAGTTAAAAACACTAAAAAAAGTTTTAAAAAAGGGGAAAAAAAAATTAACCAAGCACAAGAAAGACTAATAAAATAGAAACTTGAATTCACCGAAGGAATGGAGGATGACACTGGAAGATGGGAAAAACAGGCATGAATGTGGAACAGAATGCATTATTGTGAAAACGACAGTGTTAAAATATATGATTAATTCAAAGTCCATGACAATCAAGCTACCCATGATTGACTCCTCAGGTACAGTAAAGAGACTGCTACAAATTTACACTATTTACAAATGACAAAATTACAAAGACACTGAGAGCGCAGAATAAAGCTTGAGTAAATAAAAAAAATAAATAAAATAAAACCTAAAGGGAATAGGTTCAGATGACACTGCAGACCCACGGGAACAGCAGCACCATGGCACTGGCAGAAGAGCATATACCTAAAGCAAAAGAGCAGTAGATCCAGAACCAATCCAACCTGCCATGACCAAATGAATTTCACCAAAACACCATTAACATATGTTACTCAATAGAAAGCCTCGTCAACCAGTGTTGTAGGGAAAGGTAAATATCCACATATAAAGGAATGAAAATAGGTGAAAGTAATGAATTAGTGCAATTTGACTTTGTGCAACTGAAAAAAAATTGCATAGAAATGGTAATAACTGAATGTATGAAGAAACAGCCTACAGAACTGAGATAATTATTAGCAAATATTTCATAGTACAATACAAAAATAGCCTGATTTTAACAAGAAGCCAAAAAAAATGCAAGGCAAGTATTATAATCAAGAAATAAACCACAAAGAAGTGACAATGTATAAAAGCAGCTGAAATAGCCAACAGTTAAATAGTACATGCTCCACATGTGAGTCATGAAGAAAATGCTCATCTAATGTAGACTGAGATCTCCTCTCTGCCCAGTAAGGGTCCACACTCAAGGTCCTAAAAATAACAAACACTGAAGACAATGCAGGATGAAGAATACAGAGACAGTCTCAGAGTGAATCCAACTCAGTGCAGCCACCAGGCAAGATGATGTGCAGTTTAGGGAACTACCAAACAAGAAAAAGAGAAAACATAGAGAAGAAACTACTCAAGTGTATAAAGGAATGAAATATACTTCAAACTATCAGTGAGATAGAAAGAAACTAAGAAAAAGAAACATAATAGAGACAAAATTTAAAAATAGTATGTGTTTATATTTTCTTTCAGTGGTTTTTTGAAATGTATGTTTAATAAGCCCCAAACTAAATATGAAAATAGGATACAGTTTCAAAAGAAAAGGAGAAAACACCCTAAAATCAAAATATACACTTTCTATAAAAGTATCTACTTCAAATGTAAGCATACAAAGTGCTAGGAGTGAAGGAATTTTTTAAAAAGATTTCCTATGAACAAGGGTGGTCATAATTATGATAGGTAAAGGAAAAGCAGAATCTATAAATATACAAAACAAAGAATATTAACAAATGATCAAATGGTATATTTCCAAAAAGCTATTCAACAGGAATGCATTTATAAACGTTTCCAGATACAAAAAGCAATCAGTGACAGAACTGTAAAGAACAAACAGACAGTGATGCAGGGGAGGCTCAATGTCCACCACTGAGAAAGATGACCATGGGCACCACAGAAAAACAATAACAACTAGCAAGCCTCCAGAGAATCATCCACAAAAGAGCAAAAGATGCTCCGTCCTCTCAAACTTCAACCAGCAGGCTACACTGTGGTTCTGTTAAAAATAGAACAAGTCAGTTCAAGACCAGCCTGGCCTACAGAGCGAGTTCCAGGACAGCCAGAACTGTGATATAGAAAAACTTTGTCTTGGAAAACCAAAACAAAAAATTAGAACAAGTCTTCAAACCTTCAATGTTTAAAAGTGTCTTCTCCAAAAAAAGAATACAAAAAGACATATGAATACGGACTCACTGATAGCATGTTCTCATTAAAACACTTGAAGAAATGTAAAAGGATGTTTATGTTCTAGAAAGATTCTAAGGAATTTGTACCAAGATCTTACAGGAGAAAATCCTCCTAAGATTTATAAAATTGTGAGAAACCACAATCACTTCAAAAATTATGAAAGAAAGATCCACCCTGAGGCCCTTTCAAAATATATAAAAATTGTAGTGATGCAAGCTTTGGAATGTTGAAGACACACAACAGGATATCAAAGGGAAGACTATGTAGATGGAGTTTGATACTTGGCAGAGATATTAAGCAAATCTTATCAAAATCCTGTGGGCATTATTTTAGGAAATAGAGAAAGTACCCTAAAAGACACAGAACCTGAAGGAACTAAAAGATGCTCCCAAAACTCTGCATGCAAGAGAAACCAAGTAGTCTAAATGGTTCTAACTAAACACCATAGTAAAATTACAGAAATGAAATCACTTAATATTGGTTAAAAGAACACAGCCAGCGATATCACTCCCATGGACAGTCAAATAAAACTGTATTTCTCTGTGACTATTAACAATTACATACACAGACTTCCAAGGACTACAATAGGATAATCCTGAGATTATTCTCAGGGAATTTTCTAGAATCATTTCTAAAAGGATAGAATGTGGCAAAACCAATTTGATGTCCTGTTTATACTGTCACTTGTGCACTTCCCCATCCCATCATCCCTTCCTCAGACCCTCTAACATACCTGGATCCTTTGCTAACGTCTCTCCTTTCTTCATCATCTGTGGCTCTTTTTTCTGCTTCAAGGGGGGGCAGGACAGACGGAGCAATGTGAGACCTGCACAGGAGAAAGAGATTCCTCAGAAAACACCTAGAACTTTTCATGAAACAAAAATGAAAGATGCTAACAACTGCCAAAAGAATAAGGAGAGAAAAAAATCAAGAAAGATATCTTTCTTTCTCTGAGGATTTCACTTTACTCTCTGAGATTGAGACAAGCAATGATATGGGATAGAACAAAGATGTGACATAAGAACACAGCATATGAAGACACATTGCTGAATGCTGTATTTACATCCCAGACTGCATATATCTCAGATGGAAAACTAATGGGAAGTAAAAGGTTGCATAATGTCTACAACCAAATGTATGGGACTTCATAAAATATATTTTCTGTCTAATTATATCTTCACTGGTTCCTCACGTGATTACTACCTACAAAGCTCTCTGAGGATGCCTAGTCTCAGTGACAAAGGCCATGCTCTTGAAGAGGCAAATTATAAAACAGGGGAGTTAGAAAGCATGAATGAATTTAAATTTCAGGAGCTTTGGAACTGCCATAATAGCAAAGAGAACCCTGTTTGCAAATAGTAGAAATGCAAATACTCTACTAGGTTAATTTACAAATTATTTTATGACAGTCTGGCAACCATCAGATAAGTGAAAATAATCATGATAACATCCACTTCCTGGGATCTCAAACTTAACTGACAACATTAACAGACCTCCCCAATTTCCAACCAAATATCTGGAATTGTAATATTAGCAATACTGACTTGGGGAAAGACATTTCAGAACTCAGGATTTTGAAAGGAACTGGATGTCTCAGGAAGTCAGTGGTCATTCAGCCCATTAACAGCCTAGTGATGAATCCACCCTGCACTATTCAGATTCGACCACTAGATGGTGAAATTTTGGTTTTACTAACAGAAATAAGCTTGTCTCAGAAAGCATACTAAAGGTGGATTCATATAAAGCACAGAAAATTCCTTTTGAAAACTCAGTGATGAATGTAGAAACTTGTGGCTATCCAAGATGCAGAAAATAAACAGTGTGTATGGCCACAGAGCTAAACAAGTCAGTTATACCATGCCATCTATGGCTCTGGGGATACTGAAGGAGAGGAAGGAAGGAAATAAGGGTAAGGAGGGGAATGGGCATTACCTGCCATTCTCCAGATAAAACACAACTGTTGTAATCAGTAACCCAGAGAGGCTGGAGAGATGGCTCAGAGGTTAAGAGCACTCGCTGCTCTTCCAGAGGTCCTGAGTTCAATTCCCAGCAACCACATGGTGGCTCACAACCATCTGTAATAAGATCTGGTGTCCTCTTCTGGTGTGCAGGCAGAACACTGTATACATCATAAATAATAAATCTTTAAAAAAAAATTTTTTTAAGCTACACAGGGAAACTCTGTCTTGAAAAACCAAAAAAAAAAAAATTTAAAAATTAAAAAAAAAAAAAAAAAACAGAGCAACTGTACTCACCTGCACAGGCCTCACTCAAGGCCAGTTCTAGCCACAATCAGTCTAGGAAGGGGAGACTCACAAGGCCCCAGCCTTTACCTCTCAACTGTGGCCATGGATAGATTTTAGGAGAAGGGGAATCACTGTCTTTAGTTGTATCTCCTCTGTGGAATCTTCCAACACATAATTTGAAACCCACATTCTCAGAGATGGTTCTGGTTAATATTGGTGGGTCAAAAACAAAATGAATTGAGAGAGACAGAGACAGAGAGAGATTAGTTGGAAATATAGAACAAGATTGTAGGGAGTTGGGGATGAGAGTGTGCACTATAGGAAGTGTTTCAAGTAAATAGGCAAATATTAACATTCTTAATAATATTTAAAGTGATCACAACAGTATGAAATTTCATTTTCATGTCCTTATCGGGTTTGGATACAGGGAATATTAGATTCATAAAGAGTCTGGAAGCCTTGCTTCATTTTTACATCAAGGAATACTTTAAGCAGCTTCAGTATCCGTTATTCTCGAAGTTCTGACACAATTCTGTGATGAATCAATCTGGCACTCTCTATTTTCTTTGAATCAGGTGTATTAATTGCTGCTTCACTGTTGATGCTACTTAATTTCTTTTATGCTGCTGTAATTTTGGTATGTGTATGAATTTGCCCATTTCTTTTAGCGTTTGCAATAAAGTTGCCTAGAGGTGTTTAAAGTCAGGAGGCATCAGATATGCTTGAACACTTGTATCTATTGATTAGTCTGTGCATTTGGCTTGGGGACTTCTCAAGTCATCTTGTCAAAAAATCCTGTATACACAGCTATCAGGAAGATGCTAACTAAATCTCCTTGGTCATAGTGCTTTAGGAAAGCAACAGACAAGAAACAAATATAGGAAACCATTTTCTGCTGGATTTAAGGTTCCCTTTCAGAGACAGAACGTATGTCACGTACTGAAACCTAATCAAGAACAGGTAGTATGATAGATCATGAGCACCAAAGGGGTCCATTACTGTTTTTTTTTTTTTTTTTAAAGGTCCCCATGGCAAAATTCCTTTTTTTTTTTTTTTGGTTTTTCAAGACAGAGTTTCTCTGTGTAGCTTTGTGCCTTTCCTGGAATTCACTCTGTAGACCAGGCTGGCCTCAAACTCACAGAGATTGCCTGGCTCTGCCTCCCGAGTGCTGGGATTAAAGGAGTGTGCCACCACCGCCCGGTGCAAAATTCCTTTTTAATTGTTGCTTATATTGAAAGTAAAGTGCTGCACTCAGCCTTCATCAATCAATCTTCTTACTGAAGTGTCCAGAAGTTAGTATAGAAAACAATACTCAGTCATACTGAGATATTAAATGATGCCAGCGTCCCGTAAGTTAAGTGGAAAACCGGTATTGTGATGACTAGATCAATCTGAGGCTTTTCCTGAGGTCCTGGTGTATGGAGAAGGAATACCATTCTTCCTCTGAACCCAGGAATATGCCTGGTGGAGCCAATAACAGCATTCGTCCAGATACTTGGGAGTTGTGGCTTCTGACCCAGAGAGCCCAACTTTTCACAACATAAGGGGCTGGAGTTATCTGTCCTAAGGCTGATGTGTGTTGATCTCAGATCTTGTGACAGCTGTGCTCCCCTTCTGCCATGTTGACTGGACTCCCTATACTTTGTCTCACTACATTATATTTTTTCGCTGACACTGCCCCATTCTAATTTTAGAACTGTGTATAACATGCTGTGCTTCTTAATAACCCTGCAGGGCATAAGAAAGAGCTTATGCAAGAACTTGTGAACCCATCTTTTCTATCTTATTTGTTCTGATTCTCTGGACCTTCCTCCTCAGGAGCCTGTCAGTGAAGAACAACCCTCCGGGTCCAGGTCAAAGGAATATCCTGAAAGACATAATGGAAGAAGGGAAGAGAAAGAGCCAGAGCCAGAGAATGGAGAACACACAGTGAAAAAACTTCTGGAATCAACTATGCCTCTGTGTTTTTCTGTAAAATGCCTCATGAGATTGATTCCATCAACATTTCATCAAGGCTAAGAGGGGGGCCCCTGATGTCGGGAACTTAACTGCATGTCTATAGGCAGTTCATAGCAGACAGTAGAGGGGTGTCTCTTTCAAAGGTGGAGCCATTTAGGAGTTGCCCAGGATCCAATAAGTAACCACTCACGCATGCTCAGACAGGTAAATTTAAACTCGGAGTATCCCATTCAAAGGAGAAAAAAAATAATAATAAAAATAAAAAACAGACATGAAAGGAGCAGGACTGATGATTTCATTTCTGCAACTGCCTTCTGCATTATCTACACAATTGTCCTGACTATTAATTGAGTCAGGGTCAGGACCACCATTTCTGGCCTCTCTAAACCAGGCTCTGTGATGCTCCATAGAGTTGATAGCCCAAACATTCACCCTTCCAATCACAGATGAGAAATTCTTTCACCTGTTTAATGCATTGGCCTCCACTTTTGTTCAGTAACCACTTGATTTCCTTTACAAGAAACATAATGAAATGCGAGATGAAATCAGACACACTATTCCTGATACTCTGGACACCTGTTACAGCTGGTCACTGAGCAACACCCATCATAGTCGGCACACGTTATGACTGATCGGGACACCAATCTCCTGTCTGGAACATCCATGTTACACACAGTTAGTCATGGACAAAACTCTTAACTAATGTGCAGCCATGTCTCCTCTCTGCTCAGAGTCCACACTCAAGGTCCTCTAGTAACTAATCTTTCAGACAAAGCAGCAGAAAGAACTCAGAGACACAGTGTCGGTGGGAATCTAACTTCCTGCAGTCACCAGACAAGTCAGTGTGCAGCTTCTTTAAAAATCAAACAAGCGCTGGGCAGTGGTGGCGCATGCCTTTAATCCCAGCACTCGGGAGGCAGAGGCAGGCGGATCCCTCTGGGTTCAAGGCTAGCCTGTTCAATAAAGCGAGTTCCAGGAAAGGCGCAAAGCTACAAAGAGAAATTCTGTCTCGAAAAAATCAAATCAAACAAGCAAAGAATTCACATAAATTTCCACTACTCACACGTGTTTCTTTTTTTTTTTTTTTTTTTTTTTTTTTTTGGTTTTTCCAAGACAGGGTTTCTCTGTGTAGCTTTGCGCCTTTCCTGGAACTCACTTGGTAGCCCAGGCTGGCCTTGAACTCACAGAGATCCGCCTGCCTCTGCCTCCCGAGTGCTGGGATTAAAGGCGTGCGCCACCACCGCCCGGCCACACGTGTTTCTGTATGAAATTAATTACCATAATTCTTTGCATTGATGCATAAATACTCACTGATCAACAAACATATCAACAGTAACAGCAAACCAAAACAAATTACATACATGACATATGAACAGTGACACTACAATAGCATGTTCTCATTCAAATACAGGAACAAACTCAGTAAGAAGGCTTCTATTTTCTAGAGATTCTCAGCAATCTGTTTGTTTATGAACAAAGTAATCCAAAATATTTATGAAATTGAGAAAACACAGCATTCAAACCCTTCAAAAGATTAAACCAAGATTTTAAAATCAATTAAAATTATTTCAGTGGAAGCATTGAGAAACAACAAGAAAAATCAATGAGAAGACAGTACAGACAGTTCAATATTCTGCAAAGTTATTAAGAAATTCTTATCAGAGTCCTGCTAGCATTTTATCAGGAAATGAGTAAACAGACCACAAAATGAATAGAATATGAAGGACCTACTGAAACCATCACAGTCAGGAAATCAGGAAACAAACTTTGAGGCAAAAATTGTCCTAATTTCACAGTATGCTTAAATGAAAGTAATGAAATTTATATAATATTGATAAGAACACAAAAATGTGACACAGATGAAATAAGGACATCATCATACAAATGCAGTCAGATACATTGTATTGTTTCCTATTAGTTATAACATAGAAAGTCGGTAATGTGTACAATAGCATGATCATGAGATGATTTACAGCAGAATATTCCAGAACCATTCCTATAGAAACATAATGTGGCAAAACATAATTTGGTTCCTAGCACCCTCATGGTACTACACAACAGATTTTAACTGCAGTTCCATGGGATCCAATGCTCAATTGTAAATACTACAGGCAGGAGGTATACACTGCACATATGCATCCATCCAAGCAAATACACTCCCCCACAAAAAATAAATGTGAAATGTAATTTTAATAAAAGATATTTTCTGCTGGATGGTGGTGGTGCATGTCTTTACTCCCAACACTCAAGAGGCAGAGGCAGGCAAATGTCCATGAGTTTGAGGCCAGCCTGACCTATAGAAGGAGATCTAGGACAGCCAAAGCTATACAGAGAAACCTTGTGTCAAAAAGAACAAAACAATAAAAGATACTTTCTAAAATAGTCATAGTATGTATTGAAATTTCTATCTCTGTAAATCAGAATGACATAATAGTCTCAGAGTCAACAAACTTTTAGGGAATATTAAGACATACATTTGAGGTCTAGATGTAGTTTAAGAACTCTGTGTTGATATCAAATAGCACCCCAGTGTCATATCTCAGATGGTGAAGTTATGATGAGCAAAACTTTGCTTCTAAATTCTACAACTGTCAGACTTGCTGCAGTACTGACACTGGATTAATCCTGTCTGCATCTGCATCTCAACTGACTCTATTCTAACATTCTCAAAAAGTAGAATTTGCAGTGTTACATACTGGCTCCATCCTGAAATTACACCAGAAATGTAAACCTGGGGACTGGAGAGAGAGCTCAGGGGTAAAGGACACTTGTTGTTCATGAAGAGAAACAGTCCAATTCTCTCTAGACACAAGGCAACTTATGATTTTGCCTAATTCCTGTGCCAGGCATTTGGTGACTACCTCAGGGCTCCATGGGCATCGTGCACACATGTTGTTCACATAAAAACATGTAGATGAACACTCCTATACTTAATTTTTTTAAAGAAATTAAACAGAAGTCTATCTATCAAAACTTCTCTTCAGAATCTCTACCAACAAAAAAACATAGCTACAGGGTCAGGAAAAACATAGGGTAGGGGACCCTGGGTTCAAGTGCCAATACTCACATAGTGGCTCACAAGTATCTATAACTACAATTCCAGGGGACCCAAAACCCTTACACAGGCATAGACACAGGCAAATACCAATGTACATAAAAATAAAAATAAGTAAATACTGTAAAACAAAAAAGAAAACTCAGGATACATTCTAGGCAAGCGCTCTACCACTAAGCTAAATCCCCAACCCCAAAGAAAATTTTGTTGTTGTTGTTATTGTTTTGAGACAGGGTTTCTCTGTGTAGCTTTGGAGCCTGTCTTGAAGCTTGCTCTGTAGACCAGGCTGGCCTTGAACTCACAGAGACCCGACTACCTCTGGCTCCCAGTGCTGGGATTAAAGGCTTGCGCCACCACCACCCAGCTTCAATGATTTCTTATTAAAGAACTTTAGGGTAAATATGGGAGAACAGATGGCCCTTATCACTACCTTAATTCTCAGTAGATCTTACCCAGTCACAGGCCAGAGGCATTCTATGTTTCTTCCCCATGAGTTATCAGAATTGCTCTACTTTTTCCCTAATTGTGGAATAAGAGGCTCAAATTTCGTAAATGATCAAATATGAACAAAAATTAAGAGAATTTTCAAAGATCAAGATAAATAAAAAGAACTTAAAAAAATCTCCAGAAACCAAATACAAGTATTTATAAATTCCTTGAGGAATTTAGAAGATACTCAATGAACTAAGGAAGAAAAATAACAAGTAAATGAGGTGAGAAAATTCACAGTATAAAAGGAGCATTAAAGCAATACAAAGACAGTCTGGCTCTAGTGGTGCACACCCTTAATCCCAGCACTGAGAGGCAGAGGCAGGCAGATCCCAGTGAGTTCAAAGCCAGCCCAGTCTACAGGGTGAGTCCCAGGACAGCCAAGACTACACAAAAAATTCCTATCTTGAAAAACCAAAATAAAATAGCCTTTAAAAAAAAGGAAAGAAAAAGCAATACAGGGCTGGAGAGATGGCTCAGTGGTTAAGACCACCGACTGCTCTTCCAGAGGTTCTGAGTTCAATTCCCAGCACCCACATGGTGGATCACAACCACTTGTAATGAGATATGGTACTCTCTTCTGACCTGCAGGGACACATGCTGGCAGAATACTGTATATATAATAAATAAATAAATCTTTAAAAAAAAAAAGCAATACAAAGACAACAAAATGTATCTCTGAAAGCTACAATACAAGGAAACAGGAGAGAAATTCTCAACTTTGAGGAAGGAAAGAAACATCACTCAACATCTCCACTAATCCTTCCCAGCAGAAACCAGAGGACACATGGACAATTCATTCCCCACCCCCGACAAAAAGGGGGGACCTGATGAGCAGCAATAGAAAGGGGATATGTCCTCTCTGAAGGTGGTTCCAAGAGAAGGTCAGAGAAACTGACAGCAGCAACATGGAATATGACAGCAGCGTAAAGATGAAAGTGAAATACAGCAACATCAAAAGCTCCAGTGAACTTGTGTTCATGAACTATTTGGAGTGCAAACATGACCTTTCTCATCATAACAGAACCTGCTCAAAAGCAATGATAACGAAGGTCACAGGCACTAGGCAGGCATCCGCTACTGATATTGGCTATATGTACAAATACTCAACCTGCCTTTAAATGGTTCAGTCCACTCCCATATCCAGGGTGCTGCTTTCAGCCTGGGTCAAAGAAACTTTGGTGTCAATGGGCAACAGATATTTCAGAGACTCATAACTTTTCAAATACTGAGAACAATTGACTGCTTAATACACAGTCAATAATGGGAAACCCATATTACAACATCAAGTATTTTTTTCAGTGAAATTTTCTATAATCATTAATGAAACAGAATCGGCCAGAAACCAATTTCACGATCTCTTCCTACCATGATTTGACATTTACCCCACCCCCTCCTCATTCCTTGTAACACACCTGGATACTTTGCTACTGTCTCCTCTCTGTTCACCATGCAGGGCTCTTTATTCTGATTCACAGGTGAGCAGGACTCACTGAGCAATGAGAGATTTGCATATGGGGAAGGGAATGTTCAGAAAGCACCTGGAACTTTCCATGGAACAAAAACGAAAGAAGAAAACACCTGCCAAAGGATAAACATGAAGGAGAGAACATATCACGAAAAACGTCTCTTTATCTCTGAGGATCTCACTTTATGGGATGTGAAACCTCATTCACACACACCTCACACACATGCAGAGTGGTCTGTCCAAGAACCCTGAGAAAGAGCAAGGGAGACTGCAAGAAAATTACTCTGACCCTCAGAACCGTACTGCTGCACTTCTCCAAGATGAGATCTCTGAAAAAAAGCCCTGAGAGCAGGGTCTAGGCATTCCCACTCCTCCTACAAGAAGTCCACAGTCACAGCACTGAATGGCAACAAACCATCACATAAAAAAAGTTTTGCTACATTCGCATGGGCAGAGTTCATTTCTTGAACAAGGAGACATTTTTCTGATGTAGGTGTCCGATCATAAACATTCAAAAGCGTTTTCTAGTTTTGTGTGGCCTGATAATGTCTTTTCACAGCATGTATACGGGGCTTGCCTGGACCTTATCAGAGGGCAAAAAACTCAGAACAAATGGCTAACTGAAGTGCCAATTAACATATCAAGCAGACATTTTTGCCAGGTGCTCTCTTGGCCTCTAGTCTCCAGGTTCCTTGGCTTCTCTCCCGTCTTCTCTTCATTTCTCTCTCTCCTCTTCTCTCCCTGCTCATGGACCAGTTCATTCTGGGCCCTTCCAGATGCCTCTGGCTATTTTCTCCCTCATACCTACAATAAACCTCCTCAAGCACATTTAAAGTAGTCGTGTCCTCATTTATCATTCAGACCTAAGGTGTAATATCAACAACTAAGCATATGAAGACATTTCTTACAGAGTGCATACATCTCAAGTGAAAAATTAATAGGGAGTAAAACTTTGCTCAGTAAATGTTACTATATACAAGTATAACTGTGGTGCTTTATAACGTATATTTTCTGATTCAATCAAATCTACAAAGGTTCTTCATGTGACTAAAATCTACAAAAGCTCTCTGGGGGAAGCCTATTCCTCGGGTCAAAGGCCACTCTATTGGATAGGGAAGTAATGGACCGGGGAGATAAGAAACCATGGATTTATTTCAAATCTAGCTTTGTAACTGGTACAGTATCAAAGAAAACCCGTTTGCAAACTACAGACACTGCAAGGAGATTACTTCGTGAAAATATTCTGGCAACCAAAAAAGAAAAAATCACGATAAACCCCACTTCATAGGATCTCAACCCTACCGACAACGGAAAGACATCCACAGCAGAACTTCAGAGCCGGCTTCCTTATGAACAGCAGAGAAACTGCTCGCACCCCGGTCCCTCCCCTCCCGTGTCCCAGCCCCGCAGCTCCTCTGACCTGGGAGGTTCCAGGGCCGCCGGGCTGCGGTTCCCGCCACTGCGCTGCTGACTGGTGACTTTTCCAGGCCGCCCCGCGCGGAGACTGCGGCTCCGGGGAGATTTCGTGTCCCCGAATACACGGCCGGGTCTTCCAAGTGCAGTTCCGGACCCCTGTATTCCCGGAGTCCAACACGGAAGGGTAAAATTTCCTGTCCCTTCAGCCTGGTTCCCTGAAGCGGCTCCGCCTGGCCCCGCCCAATACATCTCTGCTTCCGGTTACCTGCTTCTTTCAAAACACCAACCTCTGACTCTTTTTTCTTACTTTTTCTAAGTCCACCCCGCTGTTTCTTTTCTCCTAAAAGCCAGTGATCAGGCAGGTGTCCCCGCCCCTCTGAGCCCGGTCCCTCCCACTCGGTCTCCGGCTGCCTTCCACACAGCTCCAGCTGTCAGGCTGCCCTGGACCCGCTCTGCACAGCCTCCCCACATGCTTGCTGCCAGCCTAGACCAGAACTGCATCTAGGAAGACTCTGCACCCAGGATTCTCACCCTGTGCTCTGACCCCTTCAGAGACAAGTTATCCTGCCTAAGTTTTCATCTTGGGATACCAGCTTCCTGGGTTAAAATGCACAGCAAAAGAAAACAAACGCCCCAAATTCTGATGCTCAAATCCCATTCCCAAAACAAATTAAAACTAAAATAAAATGCCCTAGGCTCACTAGACCTACCTGGACTGAGTCTACCAGGTTGACCTCAGTCTGTGGGGAAGGCTTTGCCCTGGAGGAGATGGGAATGGGGGGGGGGGGGGTTGGGGGAAGGTGAGGGGGACGGGAGGGGGGAGAACAAGGGAATCCGTGACTGATATGTAGAACTGAATTGTATTGCAAAATAAATTAAAAAAATAAAAAAAAATGCCCTAGGCTCAAAATACAAACCATATCTGTATCCCCTAAGGAAAGAAGTTAAATGATATTCAATATACAGAACTCAAAAACCAGAGTCATGTCCAAAATTGTCAAAACATGTAAAGCATGTGAATCAACTCAAAGAAGATTGGGAAAAAAATTATCTGTGGGCAAGAAAACACTAGCAAATGCCTGAAGGATGTGAAGACATTGTAGGATATGAAAATTAAATTCAGTAAGTACTTAGAAACACCGAAAAAATCCAAACTGAAATGAAACAGTAGCGCCCATGCTACTACCCATTCATCATGTCCCAGCAAGGGGCTGAGGACTAAAACAGAGACAAGACAGCTGGTCATTCTTCTCCTTAGAATGCCCTTTACTGAAGAAGGGAAGAGGCCTTAAATACAGGCTTACAGCACAGTGGGAGAACCTGGAGGGCAGAAGTTCTCTATAGATATTTTACATTCTTGCATCCTAGCTGTTTACACCAAAATGCAGGATACACAAAGGAGGAACCTACCTTAAACTGTTTAGGAGGAAGGAAACCAGCAGGGAATTAGCATAGGGAGGATATCCTATCAAGGTCAGCAAGTAAGGCAACAGCCACTCAAGGAAGGGGTGGGGGGTCAGGGCCCAACATGAAACAAGAAATAAAAAATGAAAAAATCCGAATAATAATAACTCACCTAGATCAGTGAGGTAGGAGACAGAATATCAGGCCTGAAGACAAGGTAGAGCAGCTGGATGGCTCAGAGGAAATAAAGAATTAAAATAAAAATGCTCCATGCAAGTATTACTAGTTAAAGGTAAAAGAGAAGTTCCAGCTGTATATTCTACACTTATTTGAAATATTCTAAATTTTTGAAACAGTAACTCATTCTGGAGAGCTTTCCCGGGAAGCTGGATTATCATTTCCATCACTATACAAATGAAGTGACACTAAAAAGCCATCTTCATCCTTCCCTCACAGAACTCCACTATTGCCACTCAAATATTGAGAATTACACTATTAGCAATGTTGACTTGGGGGAAGACAATTCAGTAACTCAGAGTTTAGAAAGTAAAACTGGCCCGGCAGTGGTGGCGCACACCTTCAATCCCAGCACTGGGAGGCAGAGGCAGGTGGATCTCTGTGAGTTGAAGCCAGCCTAGTCTCCAAAGCGAGTTCCAGGACAGGCGCAAAACTACACAGAGAAACCCTGTCTCAGAAAAAGAAAAAGAAAGAAAGAAAGAAAAAAAGAAAGGAAATACGTATCTCAGGAAGTCAGTGGTCAGTCCAGACCACTAACAGCCCAGGGCTGAAGTCATGCTGTGTCATGAGATGGAGATGTTGTGCTTGTGCTAACACAGAAACAAGTTTGTCTTCTGGGAAGGATACTGAAGGTGCTTTTATGGAAAACACAGAAAATTCCTTTTGAAAACTCAGGGGTGAATGTAGAAGCTTGTGGCTGTTCAAGATGCATAAAATAAGCCATTGAAATGGGCACAGCCTTAAACAGCTCAGTTACACTATCCCATCAATGGCTCTGGGAATATTGAGGAAGGGGCAGTGGGAAGGAAATAAGAAAACACACATGGGCCTGGGCAGGACATGTCATGCTCTAGACTCCACACGGCTGCTGTAATCAGTAACCCACAGCAACTGTAGTCACCTGCACTGGGCTCAGTCAAGGCCAGCCCTGGACACAATCAGTCTAGGAAGGGCAGAGGCTCAGAGGGCCCGACCCTTATAGCTCTCAACTGTGGCTATGGAGAGATTTTAGGAGAAGGGGAATCACTGCTGCAGGCCACAGGAATATATCATAAGAACTCAGCTAGTTATGGCAAAGTCACTACCTGAAGAGACCAAGGAATTCCTTCAGAGGAAGCCAAATTCAAATTCCAAGGAGCTTTTCGTGTTACTTGGCTTGTTATAGATCAGCTGTCTTCTGCTATGAAAATCATGTGTGCCTTCATAGTTTTCCCAATTGATTTTTCCCTAAGAAGGGCTAACAGTGTGGACTGATCACTCTCTGGACATACACATTCAAGGTATTTGGAGAACAGGATCAGGAAAGGCTTTCAAGGACTAACAGTAATAACAGTCCACATGATAGATTTAAGGTAAATTTCACAAGGAGACATCGTCTCGGTCAGGTGGACCTTAAGTAATAGCTTTAAACAACTTAGCTCAGATCCTTCTTTCTTACAGCCTTACTAACTTCATAGACTTCTAACTCCTTACCTAACCACTTCTAGGCATATTTAGATAACCTGTGTGCTATCAGCTATGCTCAGCCAGCACCCCAGTTCAAGCCTCCCTGTAATTATCATCATTGGCAGCATCCAGCCAGGTCCATCCCCAAATGGAGGAAAGTACCTTATCAGAGATACCTCTGTACCTCTAAGAACAGACTTAAGCATCCAGACTACCCATTTGAGAAGGCCTGGCAGATGTGGCAATTAAGCTTAACTTCCTCCTTTCCCAAATCTTAACCCTAGTTCCAGATCTCCCTTTAACTTTCACCAGAGGCATCTAGCTGTACACAGGTTGCCTAGTGACTGAGCACACTTTCCCCCACCCTGCAGAAAAAAATGGCAGATAGTTTGCACAGATAGGAGCTACAGGAAAAAAGAAGGCAGTTTTATTTTCTCCCATTGACCTAGCAACTTATAGATTCTTAACATTTTCTACCATAGTTGAGCACATAAGATCCCTCTTCTTAGATATTACCCGAATTTAGCCTTTAGTTAATTCATTTCCCCATTGGTCACTTCCCTTTGGGTTTGCAAATGATATTAACAATTACTGCCCCTCTATGTGATTCTTATCACCCCTCCTTTTGACCCCGGAAGCCTGGCTTTGCACTGCCAAGGGATTACCGCTTGTAAGTGTATATATTCCTCGACTTCGAGGGCACAGGAAGAAGAAGAAGATTTGGAAGAGTAAATGACTGGACTAAGAGCTTCGTATGCTGAGATTCTATTTCCCAAAAATAGTCCTCACCATTTGTGGTTCTCTCTCCTGAGTGCCTGAGATGTATAATATGAAGGCTAGTCCCTCTAATATTATACAAGAATTGTAATCGGGACGTGGTGGCCTTTAATCCCAGCACTTGGGAGGCAGAGGCAGGCAGATCTCTGTGAGTTTGAGGCCAGCCTAGTCTCCAAAGCGAGTTCCAGGAAAGGCACAAAGCTACACAGAGAAACCCTGTCTCAAAAAAAACAAACAACAACAAAAAAACAATCCTTCAAGTCCAAAATAATTTTGTAAGTATTTTGTAGTATGACATTAGGGATAAGCAATCCAGGCTGTAAAACTCCCATTGGCTGTGTGGTTTCATTAATTTTTCCTTAAAATCTGCAATGATCTTCATTTCCCTGATTTCTTTTTTAATTGGGAAAGTAGGAGAATTCCAAGGAGAATTAGAAGGTTCAATATGGCCACCATCCAACTGCTCCCATACTAACTTCTAGACAGCTTTATGTTTCCTTTTGTTAGGGGCCATTGATCTACCCACACAGGGTGGTCAGATTTCCAAGTTATAGGATCTGCATGGTGCTGTGGAATGTTCTGTATGGCAAATGTGTTGCTCTGATTGGTTGGTAAATAAAACACTGATTGGCCAATAGTCAGGAGGAGGAAGTATAGGCAGGACAAGGAGGAGAATAAAGCTGGGAAGTGGAAGGCTGAGTCAGAGACACTGCCAGCCACCACGATGACAAACAGCATGTGAAGATGCCAGTAAGCCATGAGCCACGTGGCAAGGTATAGATTAATAGAAATGGATTAATTTAAGCTGTAAGAACAGTTAGCAAGCAGCCTGCCACGGCCATACAATTTGTAACCAATATAAGTCTCTGTGTTTACTTGGTTGGGTCTGAGCGGCTGTGGGACTGGCAGGTGAGAGAGATTTGCCCTGGCTGTGGGCCAGGCAGGAAAACTCTAGCTACAGCATGGAGTTCAGGTTGCTCCATGACCCTTCCTAAAAATACTCTAATCCATTCCTATTAGCTGACATTTCTACTAAATCTTGGTCAGGAACTTCTTGCTTAGAGATGATTGTACTGAGCTATATAAATATACTCCCACATGACTCATGACATCTTGACCCCACAAATTTACAGGAAAGTGAAGGACAATGTATAGCCAAAAAGTTCTGTCATGATCCTTCTTCATCTTTCCAGGAGAGTTCATTGCTGCTCTGCTCAGGACACTGAGTTTGACCAGTTCCTTTCAGCTGTGTAATAGCTTCCATTTTTGGCCACACAGAAGGCCATTGACTAGCAGTTACAATAGATAAATATGCACCTGTATCTAAAAGACCTGAGAAACTTGTTTTCATTTATAACTAAATTGAGTTCTGAATGTTGTGGACCTATGGCTTGTAGCCAATAGGCATCTGACAAACCAAATCCTGCTTCTCCTCTTTTATCTTTTATGACTGATTTTTTTGTTTGTATCTGAGAAGGTAAAATTAACTGTGCAAGTCTTTATTACAGAAATTCCCTTAGGTGAATGAGTCATCACCTTAATTTCTCCCACAAAATCACTGTCAATTACTCCAGGAGCAACAAAGATCCCCTGCATGGTGGTACTACTTCTTCCCATTAATAACCCTACAGTGTGTTCTAACAAAGGTCCATAAACACCTGCAGGGAGGGCCTGCACCCCCATTTCAGGAGTCAAAACTGCATAGATGGAAGAGCTGAGATCTAATCCAGGACTACCTGGAGTTGCTCTGTAGAGGTCATGAATATATTTCTTTGCTGGGAGATTGATTGCAGTGTTACCCCAAAGATCTATTTTGTTGGGGCTTGGGGCTGGCCCTTCCATCTGTTTCCCTGAAATGAATTCTCCTTGGTATCCATTCTTAGTAGACATTCATT